TGTTATAATAAACAATAATTAATTTACTTATTGGTTAGTGTCGTTTAAATATAAATACAAATTGTAAACTAGTGCAAATATTTATGGTACTACGTCAAAAATGTACACCATATTATTGGAATCAAATAAAATCTATGAAAAAATAACATTAATATAATATCGAATTTTGTGTGCTGAAGATTGTAATWTATTATATTAGTGTTCTCATTTATCAAAAAATCGTTCCTTTTTTCATTACTTTTAAATCGAAATAATAAATCACTTAAAATACGCTATCTAAATGACAGTTATCGCTTTGTCTGTGGTTCATACCTGGTATAATTGAATGACATTACTAAGTAATGTTGTTGTGTAAAATAAATTTAGAGACTCTTAAATTATAAGAAAATCTATTAAATTACAATTTCCTCAGTCAAGGTAACGTCCAACAAATATTTAAATTGAGGAGACGCAACGGATCTCAATTTTCTGCCCCAAATTTCGCTTAAAATAACTCCCTTTTAACTTATTCTTCAAAATTTATAATGGTACTCGAGCCACGAAGTCTAATCAATATTTTTTCCCCATTCAAAATTATTAATTATTTGTTTTCAAAATTATACAGTTTTTGATTCAAAAATATTTATAAAAAGCTATAGATAGCCAGATAGGTATCTATATTTTTTTAGTTCGATGAAAAAATTATTAATGAGTAAGCTATATATACACGAATAATATATCATGTTTTGGTCTTAAAAAAACTATTATCTAATTTGTTGATTATATTATTTATCTATTGAGATGGCCAAATATCAGTTCGTCGATCAGGCATCATAAGTTATGATTTTCAAAACAACGAAAATGTATTAAATTTTTAAAAACTTACTTACACCCTTTCTCACWATAACCGTCCTTGATACCTATATCTTTATCCAATAATTTATTGTACATGACTAGGGGCGAAGTGGTAAYCAAATTCAGGACGGGATAAAATAATTCATCCTGGCCACACACTTTAAAATTTAAGTTACTTCATTTTCAATTCAACAAATACCAAACAAATAAATATATGACAATATTCCAAAAACATAATATTATTTTATAATTATTAACAGCCAACATAAAAAACACATGAACACTAAAATAGTTAAATATTTAATAATCATTCAGATAAAAACTTAAATTTTTCGTCATCTGAATTTATAATTATTTTATTATCCAACCACATTAAGATTTAAGGYTAAATTGCCATTAAACATCAAATATTCTAAATGTTTATAATCATTAACCWTT